ACAAACAAACAGCATATGGTGTTTAGGTAAAGTGTATGTTCACGACATACTACCAGAACAGTTTCATGCTCCGTGACGTTGATTCTCCAGGTCTCTGGAGCTCCATTGGAGGGAATGACACCATTCTTCCAAAAGATATTCACTCATTTTGTGTTTTAATGATGGTGGTGGAGAACTCTGTCTACCACGTTGGCCCAACATCTCCCCAAACATATTAGTTGAGATCTGGTTGTGATCTAACCATAAGCCTGGGACAGGGAATAAAGGTGCATAAAGGCGATCACTCAGAACCACTTTGTATTGATCTACAGTGACCCTTTCCTCTAAGGAGACAAGTGGACCAAACGTATGGCAGCAACAGAGCCACCAGATTCCCTCAGTGTAGGAGTCAGTGGTTCAGGTTATTCCTTTAATTTGTCCCCAGTCTTTCATCCAGTCATACGCCACCGTTGCACGTTGCTACCTGTACCTTGTGTTTTGTGCTGTCTGGAGCTACAGGTTCTGATCAGCTGTCGCTGGCCTGCAACAAGTTGTTTTTGTTGTCTTCAGCATTGTTTCTGTTCTCTCTTTTCTGTTCTCTCTCCACTTTAGCCTCACCCCAACTGGCTGAGGCAGATTTTTCCTTGCAAAATAAATAAAATGAATTGAATCCATCAATATGACATTTACTCAAAATACTGAACATCCATCCATCATCTATACACCGCTTAATCCTCACTAGGATCATGGGGGGCTGGAGTCTTTCCCAGCTGACTCAGGGTGAAGGCAGGGGACACCCTGGACAGGTCACCAGTCTATCACAGGGCTACACTTAGAGACAGACAACCAAGCACACTCACATTCACACCTATGGACTATTTAGAATCACCAATTAACCTCAACATGTTTTTGGACCTTGTGGGAGGAAGCTGGAGAACCCGGAGAGAACCCACACTGCACGGGGAGAACATGGAGACTCCAAATACTGAACAAAGTTTCAGATATATAACTCCTTTTGTTACATCTTCTAACACTTGTGACACCCATCTTGCACGCAGACAAACACCAATGACAGAATTCTTCAGCATAGTTTACTTAGTATTTGTTGAAGTACACAAGTTCTAATTGTTGAACACACTTTAGTTAACTCTTGTATATCCTACAATATGCTCCTAAAGTCAGACTAATTCTTTTTTGTGTTACCGTTGCTGGCGGTCCAGACTTTTGCTGCTGACTTCTACAGGAAACATGGGAGAACCAGGTTTATATAAGGAAGCTGCTAATCAGGCTGTAACAAATGAAGGGGGGGTGGGGATTGTTTGATTTGAATATTATGTAAATCATTAGATTTAAATTGCTTATTTAGATATTTTAAGATTTGTCTGTTGCTTGTATGTTGATTAAACAAAACTCACTTTGCTGTTTTCTTTTCTTTGTAGTTACTGTAGGTGTTGGTGTTATAAACTCCCCCTTTATGTTTCATATGGTTTGATCTGCCAGTATGAACACTTCCTCTTTGGTTCTTGGTGTGCCAGGTCAGTTCTGAGTTTTGATTGGTCAGGAGTCACTTTGTCACCGTAGAGCTTTTTTATTGGGCCAAATCTTTAGTGTCTGCTGTTTTAATTTTGTTTCGTCATTTCTTGGATAACATGAAACCCGTTTTCCAAATCCACCTGGTTGTTTTCCAAATCCACTGTTTGCTGTAACACCCAACAGGTCCATTGTGCACGAGCACATGGCATACTGTTTATGATGTAATGCTCAAAACAATTAAAAATCAGTGCAAAGGAGGCGACCTGATGGCTGGGAGCAGATCCCCGACTGGATTCCCAACCAGCTGAACCATTTGCTGAATGTCTCTTTTCTCATTCTTCTTTTGTTTTTTCTAAAAGAAAGCAAAAAACCCAAAAAAAAAACCTTTTTGGGGAAAAAAATTCAATTAAAAAAAAGAAAGAGCAACACAATTTGCCTTGTAACGGCTTATAGGAGATGATAAGGGTTTAATCAGCCCAGATGCTCGTTTCAACACATTCTCGTGCTGAATCGCTCACCATGCCAGCGGCTCCAAATTCCCAAACTGTCCACTGTGGCCCGTTTGTTCTCTTCTAATGTGAGCTGCTGAGAGCCACAGCTGGGCTCCGGAGGTCAGGCCAAAGGCTGCTTTCATACTCTCATGAAGATTTAATGAGCCTGAATGTATGTGTGCGGATGTACATGAAGGTAAAACACAGTCCGATGCAGAATTAGCTGGTTAGTGTGTTTGTGGTTGTTTCTTATGACAAAAAAACTGATGATTGGTGTCAACATCCTAAACAAAACACACCAGAGGAGAAACTTTAATAGAACAAAGAAGTGGATTTACTATGATTGGTGGTAATACTTAACACTGCTGGAAATGGAAGTCAGCTTTAAAGCTTGTTGTGCTTTTAATCAGGAGCTGAAAAACGCCTTTTCCTTCACTTCTCTGATTGTTAATTCTGATTATATATGAAA